AAGGCCGGCGGCGGCGCGCGTGTTACGTCATGTGGGCGCGACGACCGCCAGCGCGGGGGTGCGGCTCTAGGTTGGTAGAATCGTTGTGTGGATTGTATACGGGGCCTGGACTTTGAGCTGGGAGACTTGGAGGTCCTCAAGAAAGCAGGAGGTGGGAGGAAAGAAAAATCGGGCGTGGGTGACTGAGGAAGAAAGAGAGGCAGGGAAGGTAGCGGAGGGTCCAGACGCTCCACCGTTGAGTGAAAGCTCCTAGTTCCACTTCTTACAAAGTTCATCACGAACTTAGAATATCCCTTTCTCAAGAAGACAAAAGCAGAGTGGCTTAAGAATACTTTTAATTCCCAGAAGCGTCTGTATGTAGAAGGAATCTAAGCTTTTCGAGTTATTTGCTGTGTCTTAGGACAAGTTACACATCTCCCTGCCTCTCGATTTTCTGATCTGAAAAATGGGACTTGATGGTACTTGATCTATCTGGTTTTTTAGTTTAAGCCAGGATCACGTGAGTTTACAGATGTAAAGGGTTTGGATAAACTCATAGTATACGGTAAGAACCCCATTCAAACGTTAGCTTTATTAGTAAGTACAGGGTTTTCCCCCCTTAAATACCTTTACCTCAGAAAAGACTTGGTCAGCATCCTGATTTATATTATTTAGAAAACAAAAGTAAGACTTAAGGATACTGTAATTTAACTGGACTTGTCTGCAACAATTGCATGTTTTTACATCTTAAGCTGTTGATACAATGAGATAAATTTTACTTACCCTTGTCATGATGTAGTGTCTTCTTTTGTTTCACTGAAAAACATACTCCAGTGACTAATCATACCAATGAAAATGTTTATCTTGGAATGATCAGTTTCTAAAAATCTTTTGGCATTGAGCACCTCTAATAAATTACTGAGAAACCTATTGCGCAGAGTAATTACTTCTTAAGGGAAGTTTCATTGTAGATATTAACCAATTACTCCAGCACTAGGTAAGTTTCTGACTTAACTGAAGAAAGGAGTTCCTTACCAGAAGGAGTTCCGTTCTGGGAGAATGTTCATAGTCTGACAACCTGAGTCTTAACACACCTTAGACACAAATATACAATGTGTGTTTCTTAGCGTTTCCTAGCAGTCCCCGCCACATCATCACCACTTTACTTCTTGCCTCTGGACACCCTTGGCTCTGATTAAGTACTGTACTGTTCAGCTGCACAGCTGTGACAGTCTGGCAGACACATGAACTACATCCATGCTTTGCTCACATCTAGGAATGTTCATAATGCAAGGTCTGTTTGTATCTGAAAGTTCACAATTTGAATGTTCCTAAATCAGGGACTTACTGCAGTTTATTATTTTATTAACATTCTTTAGGATGTCAGGCTGGTAATATGTGTAAAGGTTTTTTTATGCTACCTATATGATGTATAGTCTGAAAAAATTATAGCGTTATGAATATCTCTCAGAATGTAAGAACAGAAAAGCTGGATTCTAATTCTTAATCTGACCACAATTTGTTATGTAATCTTGGAGATTATCAACCCTCGATTGTGACTTTAGTTTCTCCATCAATAAATGCTTCCTCATTAAAATAATACAAATAATAGTACTTTGTAACTATACCTTTTAAAGAACAGCACTAATATTCCTGCACTGGATAAAGTAATTCTACGCAAATTAATTTTAAGTAGTCTCAAAAACTAGTTTAAACTACCCATTGACACCCCTCCCCACCCTTGGTTATTTTTTCTTGGCGTGGTTTCTGTGCTGTGGCACCTTCCTGAACGTCTCAGGCATTCTTTACTCCCTGCCCCAGTGTGTTTACTTTGCTCAAGGTTAAATCTTTATACTTGAAAGTTTCTTAGGAAATTGTTTCCTGACCTGTTAACCTCAATTTTTTTTTTCTTTTTTGTCTTTGAGATCAGGGCCTCAATCTCAGGGCCTATGACCGTGGTAGGCAAGTGCTCCACCCCCTGAAAATGTTTCCAGGGTTGGTTTTGAACTTCTAGACTCAAGTGATTCTGCTGCCTTGGCCTCCCAGGTAACTGACTACATGAATGTGTCACTTACCTGATTTTACCTCTATGTTGATAAGTCTTAGAAATATGTATGTTTATATTTCCCCTCCTATCAAATCTCACCACCTGTGTGTATATTTGTGTGTGTATTTGTGTGCATGGCTTGAAAATTCTTAATAGATAAATCTTGCAGGCAGTCTATATGCCCATCAACAGATAAATGGATAAAGAAAATGGGTTTATACACTATAGAGGACTACTGTGTCATAAAGAAGGATAAACGAGTATTTTTAGGAAAATGTATGCACCTTGATACCATAATGTTACATTAAATAAATTGGACACACAAGCTTAAATGCGCATGGATTCTCTTATATGAAAAACCCAAAATAGATATAAAGAGCAAAATATACCGGGATTTAGCTCAGTGGTTCTGCCACCTGCTTTGCAAGCACAAGGACCCTAGTTCGATCCCTGGTACCAAAAAAAACGATAGTTGGAAGTACGGAGATAGATCTTTTGCAAATGAGAAGGGTACAAAGAAATGGGGGGTTGAAGGAGGAATGGGGGAAAGGGAATAAAAGAATTAAGATGCAATATATACATGTACCAACTCCCTATGAGAAATGTAATCATTATGTATGCAAATGTTCCAATAAAAAACTGGAAAAACGTGTGAATAGTGCCATATATGTGGCATCTACAGCAGTGTATATTACATTCACATTTGGCAAGCAGTATTTGTTGAGTGAACTTGAACATTCTTCTGTCTCTTGACCTTTTAATTACACCTCATACTTTTCCCAAATCTCCATTGCTGTTGGTAGGTGTAGCAATTTTCCTTCTTTTGTAGATTTTATATTTTATTTTTATTTACTTTTCATTCTACAAATGAGTCGCTCTTCGTCCTTTAGAAGTCTCTCCACTGTAGTTTTTTATGATTCCTCAGGTATTGTCTCACACCTTCAGAGTAACACCCTAAAATGCTGTCTACATAGTGTTAATTTTCCCAGAAAAGAACATATGCCACAATATGAATACAGCAGCAAAGTCAAGTATACCAGTCTGAGAGACTACAACTTCAAATGTTGGTGAAACTGTAATTATGTCATCCATATTCAAAGTCTTTAATTTGATAGTTGAAACCACCAATAATAATACTGTAAATTCCAAGTATGAAAATAAATGAGAACAAGCAAAGAATATTTAATGTCAGTCTCTGTATCCATGGGTTTCATATTCATGTGTCCAACCAACTACAGATAGAGAAGATTCAAGAAAAAAGATGTATCTGTACTGAACATACAAAGTTTATTTTGGTCTCATTATTCCCTAAACACTACCATGTAGAAACTATTTACTTTGTATTAGGTATCATAAATAATCTAGAGATGGTTTAAAGTATATAGGAGTAGATGCATAGGTGATATGCAGATTTTATATATGGGACTTGAACATCCTCAGATTTTGGCATCTGGGATCCTGGAACCAATCTCCCAGGGATACCAGAGGACAGCTTGCTGTAGCAAAGCAGACAGCTGCTATCACCTGTATTTGATGATGACTTAAAAGCAAACAGGATAGTGCAATGATTCCCTTCCACCCAGATTGGAAGTTGTTGGCATAAATTTGCCTTTTCCCAGTTGATCCTAAGTGAGAAATGGAACCAAATTAAGGAAACTGGCAGTCATCAATCAAGCTTAGGACATTTTGTGTTAATTGCTACAGAGATTGTGGTTGCCTTTCTAAACTGGTCGCTACAGAGATTGTGCAGCGAAGTTCTATTTTTTATATGTGCTCTGGCCATTGTAAGTTCAGTCTCCCACAAGATTCTACTCTCTAGCGTCCTTTTCTCTGCAGTACATACCAGAATGCTAGACACATGCTTGGCTTGATAAGCATTTGTTGATTTCATGTGCTTGTAAGGTAATTAAATGGATTGAGATTCACAAATTTTAAACAAAATATGTAATGTATAAAAAAGACTTCTTTGGAATTTGAACTTTAGTGCATTTTATGGGGTAAATCATATGCTCCAGTAGAATTCATAAACTTGGGAAGTTCTGAAATATCTAAGGTATTCAGGGTTATTTTATGCAATCAAACCTTCATGGAGGTTATGGACAAATTGGACAAGCGAGATAGCAGCCAGGATTTGAATGAAAGTTTCCTACATCATGGGTATAAGCACCTTTTTAACAGTTCAAATTTGATACCCATTCATTCCCATGTTTTTTTAAATTGAGTTTATTGGTACATTTTAGGTATACAGTACAGTTACATTCATCATTGGGATCTTGTACCTTTACATGACAGGTCTTGCTTCTCATTTTTCCCCTTGTCCCTGCCCTCCCTGCACCCCCTCCCCTCCCCATTTACAAATACTTTATTTCCATTTTTTCATTTTCTCATATTTTTTTCTTTTCCCTTATTACCTTTCCCCTACCCTTCCCACTTTCCCTATACCTTTATTCCATGTTTTGTTTTGAGGGCATTAACCAGAGTTCTAAAACATGATCTCTTCCTGTAGATATAGGTTGAGAAGACTTCAGAAAAGATGTAGAATCTGAGTGTGATTTTAAAGATGGGCATATTTTGTAAGGGAAGAAAAGAGTTTTTTCCTGGATAAAAATGTGTGTCCATGAGAAAAAGGTGTATCCAAAGACAAGTTCTAAAACTGGTTTGGCAAAGCACAGGGTATATGTGATGAAGCAACAGAAAAATCAAACAGGTCAGGTGAGTTCTGTGAAGATTGAATCATGCTATGGAAACTAGGTAAAAGAATGTGCACCTCTAATTCACATGTATGTGTGTGTCATGTGTGTTGAGAACCTATGGCCTTTTAGATAAAATAAAAATACCTTTAGGCAAGTACTGTACCACTGAGCTACACCCTCAGCTGGAGAGAAACACTTGGTAAACAGTATTGAGTAGCTGTTTGTTGCAGTGTTGTAATATTGTAGGACCCATGGAGTCTGCCCTCAAGGATATCATGTTATAAACAAAACTGATAATCTAATTAGGGCAGATATTTGCTAAGCTGGAAAATACTGAATCTAAATGCATTTTTTTAAATGTGAAATAGGAAGAAAAGGACTAAAGGTGTAGGAGAAGTGGGAAGCATAAGGGAAAGGAAATAAAGGACAAGAAAAAATATGAGAAAAGGAAAAAATGGAAATAAAGTCTCTGTAAATAGGGGAGGTAGAGGAGGTGAAGGGAGGACAGGGGTATGGGGAAAATTGACAACCAAGATCTGTCGTGTCAGGGTTCAAGATCCCAATGATGAATGTAACTGTACTGTATACTTAAAAAGTACCAAAAACCTCAATAAAAAAAAAGTTTTTGTCTCTCCGTAGCACTCTGTGCTTTGATGGATGCCAAATCAATGCGTGTTTCGAAAATAGTCTCACTTGAATGTCACTTCCTTTCATATCTTACTACAGAAGGCATAATTTGCCAGGAATTGAATAAAAAACTAAAAGACCCATCTCACTGGCTTCTGAGCAATTCAAAATAGCACTGTCTATGCCCGTCTTGTATCTTCAACCAGTTGACCCAGCTCCCTAGTAGACTAGTAGCACTGCCAATGAGAAGCACTGATAATGATAGCTGTGCTCACTTTCCAGCATTCTCTTGACCCCTCAGCTTCTACCTGGCTCACTTAATCCTCTGTGCTCTGATCCAGACACCAGATAGTACTCACATAGTACGACTTTGGCGCTCTTTTTTGCATCAACACCCGAGCTCTTATCTGCTTCTAGTCACTCAGGGAACCACCCAGCCTCAGCAGCTAGTTCCTGGAACCTGACCCCAGACCATGTGGCCCATGTAAAGCCTGGAGAAAATTTGAATAAATAAATAGACTATTGCCATGACACATGACAGGTTGTTATATATCAGTTTTCCTGTTGTCTCCTGCCTTGAGCAGAGGCTGGCAAAACAGAAAAAAACAATAATTAACAATCATATAAATAAAGACAGTCATGGTCTAAGATAAGGTATTGTCTTACCTTATCAATGTAGGAGTGTTCCGGCCCAGTTTTCCTATCAGTACTACACACATGTCCAAGCTATGTCTATGTCAAACACAACTACTTGAAGAATTTATAATTGGCCAGGTAAATAAGACAAGATTCATCATGAAAGCAAAGGCCTGCATTTGGAATATATCGTATTTCACAAAAATAGCATTCCATGAGAACCCAGATTTACATCTGGTGTCCTGGTAAAAAGTCTAACACCCGCATAATTCATCTCCAAGAGAAAAGCCGAGATTCGTTAGGGTTTTGTTAGTGTCTGGTTTCCATGGTCTCGGTCCATGATTTCTGACTCCCACCATCAGCAACTTCAGACTGCCAACATGACATCAGTGAACATGTAGTTGTAAAACAGTGTACAGTAGGACACTATTATAGAATATTTTGATCATGCAGATTCAATAAAGTAAACTCGAGAACCAAGATACTAGTAAATTGTATAATAGTTAAATAATTAGAAAGTAATGAGAGCTTACTATGTTTAACGTTTAATTATAAGTTTATATACAATTTACCTTTTGTTTTGTTTTGTTTTACAGTACCAAGGATTGAATTTGGGACTTTGCACTTGCGAGGCAGGCAGCGGAACTATTGAGCTAAACCCCTGGCCCTAATTTTTAATGAGGGCTGGATGTAACAACCACCTTGAAAAGTTCCTGATAATCTACCTACCAGCTCTCTTGAGTCAGAACAGACAAATTCCAACATAACACTGTAGCATTCTAAGAAGGAACTAATGCCAGGCAACAACAGTCAGACCATTCATACAAGACCTTTCCTCCTTAATCAGCCTCCTTCTTCTACCCTGTCCCTTACCCATACAGGCATCAGACATAGCCTAGTGCGTGTGGAAAAAAAGGGAACAGAACAAGTAAGATGAGAGAAAAAATGCCAGCCAAGTTTCTCTTTCAACTGTAAATTTTTAGGCCCACAATAGGCCTAAGCTGGAAGAAGTGAAACTTAAATTGAATAATTTTTAGGATTTATAAGATCATTAGACTAAAAGGAACTTCTAGTGTCTAAAATAATCCAATAAAGCCAGCTAAATTCCTACTCTTTCATTCTGAGACAGTAAAAGACAACTACAGTGAGTTTACAGAGGAAATAATTGAGAAAAATAACTATTTTCTGTTTGTACCCTACAAAGTCTAGTTCATTCAAGAAACATACACTTCACATAGTCTGGTATAATAAATTTCTCAGAAACTTAGCATTTTAAAATACTATTTCAGAATTGAAGCTGAGTTGGGTGTGGTGGCTCACGCCTGTAATCCCAGCACTCAGGAGGCTGAGGCAGGAGGATCGCTGTGAGTTCGAGACCAGCCTGGGCTACATAGTGAGTTCCATGTCAGTCTCAACTACATAGTGAGACCCTGTCTCAAAAAAGAAAAAAAAAAATTGAAGCTGGGCATGGTGGCACATACCAGCAATCCTAGCACTTGGGAGGCTGAGGCAAGAGGATCACTGTGAGTTCAAGGCTGGCCTGGGCTACATAGTTAAAGGCCCAGCTGGATCACAGACTAATACCCTGACTCAAAAAATAAAAAAACAAAAACAAATAAAAAACCAAAATTGAGGTAGGCTAGGAATTTAGTGCTTAGCATGGCAATTCTGGCTCAGGATTTCTTCAAAATGTTGCTGTCAGAGTATTGCTGTTATCTGAGGGCTTGATGGAGGCAAGGAGGATCCCATTCTGGAAGGGAGATACTTTCTAAGTAAAACATTTGTTTCATTACCACGACCACTCCAGTGGAATCTGCGTGACAATGCCGACCACCTGGCAGAAACCGGATCTGAGGTATCGTCCCCTCGTCCCCTCGGGGTCAAGCCTCCTGGAGGTCCTTGGCATGCACTGCATTAAAAGTCAGCCAAAGAAGGAATCGTTGGTTTCTTCGCCTGCAGCTTGGGGACAATGGGTTCTGTTACAATTTTGATTTATTTTCTATTGATCTCTGTGTGTTTGTGTTTTTTGAAAATGCCTAGTGGTTTTCAAGAAGGAGAAGGATTAGATGTACCCAAAGATATGGAGGATAAGAATGTCACTGTTTGGACACAGCCTTCTCAGTCAAATAATAACTGAACAGAAGGTGCATTTGAGGGGAATATTTCTTTTAAGGAAATAATTCTCAGGAAAATAACATGTAATGTTACAGACGTTACTGATACTTCATCAGAATTACCATATATTGTCAAACATCTGAGAAACAATGAATCAAAGGGGAAAAAATGGCCACTGGCATATTATCAGCTAAGATGGAAAGAAAGCTTAAACTCCTGCTAACTTTTCACAATGTATTCTATAATGATGTATTTGGCAGGCGCCAGCTCAGCAAGCGGGAATAGATGCCTAGAGAGATCAGCTCATTGACTTGCTATAAGGAAATAGAAATCTGTATAAAAGAAGCTCTTTGAAAAATAAATTTTGCAGCAGCATTTGCAAACTTCACCTCGGTGTTGAGTGCTTTTGTCTGACTGTCATCGCCGAACCTGCTCCCACCTTTCAGAGAACCTGTATCTCCTCGTGAAATCCCGTGTTTGCTGCCCTACGGTCGGTAGCATTTCATATTCTCTCAGGTTCATTGAAGAATAGTATCGAAAAAGGAGCTGCGTTCTTTTAAAATCTTGTAGGAAACTGAAGAGGAAGCAACCCAAATGTGCATTAATGAGTAAATTGATAAACAAATTGTGGCATGTGTATGAAATATTATTCAGGAATATTTTACAAAGGAGTGAAATCATATATGTGAAATAATGAAATAATGTGGATGCACTCTGAAAGTATGCTGAGCTGAAGAAGCCAGGCAGAAGAGGTCCTATGTTATATAACCCTATTTACATGAAATATCCAAGAATACATAAAGGTGAGGTGGCAGCTGCTCAGTGGGTGTGCAGTTTCCTTCTGGACTGATGACAGTGCGCCAGGAACCAAATGGAAGCGGTCGTTGTACAACATTGTAAATGTGCTAAATGTCACTTAAGTGTACTATTTTGAAATGGCCCAGTTTATGTTTTGTGAATTTAGCCTTTAGTTTTTAAAATACAATTAGTTGTTTTTAAAAAAGAGAGATGCTTGTGCGTTAGCACAAGTGAGGTGTATCCAGGGATTACAAAAATAAAGGGGAACAGGAGCTCTTTCAAAGGATAAGATTTTGTAGGTATGCAGGTGGAAGTACAGTCACAGAAACTAGACTTAGAGCTCTAATTACTTTTGGTTTGGGGTTTTTTTGTTGTTGTTGTTATGTTTGGTTTGAGACAGAATCTTGCTATGTAGCTCAAGGTGATCTTGAGCTCACTATGTAGCTCAGGCTGTCCTTGAACTTGTAGCAATCCTCCTGGCTCAGCCCCCCAAGTGCTGGTATTACAGTAACTACTATTATGAACTTTATGAATTATACCCGTTTGAAAGCCAAAGTAACTTCAAGTGATGAGTAAGACACCTTAATAGTGTCTTTAGTATGAGCTTCTTTGTAATGCATGTCACAGAAATTATATTTCTCCAGGCCCCACTGGACTTGTGAGAGGTGTTTGTCAGGTAGAGGCTAGCTTGTGATTTAGAGTCATACACGAATCCCTCACCCCTTTGGTAAAACTAACTAGCTCATTAAAAGACTCAACCTACTAATACTAGAAATCTGAAGGGGAAAAAGCAGAATTTTTTACTTGATGACTTTGCAAACAACTGAGTTTATTTCTAATCAGCTAACAGTTCTCCATGTAGCTTCTGTTATTGTTTATATCTAGATGTCCTCCCAAGTTATGCATTCACAGGTGGGGCTTTGGATGAGATTGGAACATGGGGATGTGATAGTCATCAGTGGGTTAGTTCTTTTTTTTTTTTTTTTTTTTTTTTTTTAAGTTTAGACTGCTCTGGAACTCACTATGTAGCCCAGGCTAGTCTCAAACTCACAGCAATCCTCCTGCCTCAGCCTCCCAAGTGCTGGGATTACAGGCGTGTGCCACAATGCCCGGCATCAGTGGGTTAGTTCTGATCAGAAGAAGTGGTCATTAGGACGGGGCTCGGAAGGGTCCATCTCCCTCCCTCCTTCCTGGATCTCTCTACTTCGAGCTGCCATATACCATGCACTCTTTCTTCTCTACTATTCCCCTCTGCCACGCTGCTGTGCCTGGAAGCCAGCTATGGACTGAAACCATTACAAACTGAGCCAAAATAAACTTCCTCTCCTTCCTTAAATTGTGGGTGTTGGATATTGTGTCTCAGCAACAAGAAAGCAACTAAGACACCTGACCGCTGACTCACCTGATTTAGCCTCAAGAGTGTGAGTACTGGAAACAAGTATCTCACCTTTCCACTTCACCCACAACCATGTAAGAATGCTTTGTAGGAAGTGATTCTCTGGAAGGGAGCTTGCTTCTGTGGCCAGTTATAGCACCTAAGAAATCCTAAGATGACTTGTGGAACTTTTCTTCAGGTAAGCCTTCAAGGATTTGATTTTTTTTCCTCCATAGCTCATAAAAAGTATCAAGCTCATGTATGATGTTATCATTTTAAATTATAGTATCTGTATATTACAAATATTTATTAGAAATTATTGCAGTATGGACGTGTACGGGTGGATGTGTGAGAGTAATGCAGGTGAAGAATACAACAGGTAGGTTTAGGAAAGAAGGCTAGGTGGCTAAAGTGTTGGTGGGCAAAGGGAGTTAAGAGAGGGACTGTAGAAGTAGGTACCAACAACATATACATGTAGTTGTGAGGGTCTGGGGGAAAAGTCTATATTTCATTGTTAGTGCAGTGGTATGACATTTATAGGTCTTGAGCAAGTAAATGGTATATTCTATATAATTTCTTAAAAATTACTCTGGCTGAAGTATGAAGAATGAATAGAAGCATAGGTAAAGATGAGAAAGAGAAATCTGAAAGTTGTTGTAGAAGTCAGGAGACTGATGGTGATGTCTTGGACCTGGTATACAGTAAGCGGAATGCAGAGAAATGGACAGGTTGAGATAGATCTTGAAAATGGTGCTTGCTGATGAACTGGAAGTGATACTGACACGAAGAGTGTTAAATATAGTCCCTGCTGTTGCATATCTTTAGTGCTGAACAGTGTACTGGAACATGCACATTTAATAACTAAAACTGGTTAAGACCTACAAATATAGAAAAACAAACCATAAATACAGAAGTGTCATCAAAATCTACTGTTTTTCATAATAACCGTTAAGCATATTAAAGATTAAACTAAAGCCAACACGGACCAGGGATTTAGCTCAGTGGCACAGTACCTGCCTTGCAAGTGCAAGGTCCTGAGTTCGAGCTTCAGTACTGCAAAATGAACAAATAAAACTAAAGACAGCTCCTCCAGTTTAGGGGCAGAGAATAACAGAGTAAGAGTAATAGGGTGGCTACTCCTATTACTATTTCTAGACTTCTAGGAGTCTAGAAAAATAGGATATACTTACGCAAAAGTTGCCTTGCAAGTTAGGAGACTATAAATCCTGTTGAAAATATCCTTAATTTGCCCGCTAAAGATTACATTACTTTTTCTCTGTTTCATTTTTTTAAGTAGTGAATTATTATGTGTGTGGATGTTAGTATATTGTTAATCTACATTTTAAAAAGTAAACCTTGCAAAATCTAAAGCAATTAAAGTGCTGCTTCTCCATCCAAAGTCCTCTTTATTGTACTTTCAAGGTATCTCAGCTATAGTTCCATTATGATATAAAGTTAGTACTTTCAAAATTAGGAAATTATGAGTGGTGTGAAGACTGCATAGCAAAAGTTCTTAGAAAGTTCTCATCTTAGCGTGACCTTAACTTCAGCTGCCAAGAGTTTGCCTCATTAATGGATTCTGGGAGCAGCTTTATCCATGAACTAGTATGATTTTTGAGATCATAAATTGTAAGATAAGGACAGGAATAAGGATAAGAAGTAGAAAATTTGAGTCAGGTGTGGTGGCGCACGCCTGTAATCCCAGCACTCTCAGGCTGAGGCAGGAGGATCACTGTGAGTTCGAGACCAGCCTGGGCTACATAGTGAGTTCCAGGTCAGTCTCAGCTACATAGTGAGACTCTGTCTCAAAAAAAAAAAAAAAAAAAAAAAAAAAAAAAAAAAAGTAGAAAATTTTTAAAAATGTGATTACAGTAGACTACATTTAGTATTAACATGTTGGCAAATGTTATAATATCTTTAGATCAGGTTTAGTTTCTGGTTTGTTGGGTTTTTTTGTTCTGTTTTCTTTTTGTTTTTTTGTATGGGGAATTGAACTCATGACCTGGCACTTGCAAGGCAGGTGTGGTGCCACTCAGCTAAA